GCTGTTGTCCTCAGTTCACATAAATCGAGGAAACGAAGCTCCCTCATGCAAATCGCAGAGAAAATTGTACATTTAAATGGCCAGGCGAGCAGTTTATTTCATTTTATTGTAGTTTATAGCGACACAATATGCAGATGATTATTAATTGTGTCAGGATTTTCTGGGCCAACCCAACCCAAGGGTTGTCCTCTCATATTTATGGGGGCGCCTGCTTTATGTAGATTGCATTAAGCTCGATTGTGTTATGTGGGACTGTTCCTTAAAATTAACAAATTGGGGACTAAGACATAAAATTCAACATAATTTGCTTCACTTATTAACTGAAATGCTTGCGGGAAATATGTGTTACATAAGCATAAAAGAGATGGTAAAGAAAATTGAGAGTATTTGCAGAAAGAAAGAACAAGTTGTTTTATTTTTTTTTTTGCTTTGGTTCGGTGAGAGGAAAACTATTCACTTTATCAACGAGGCAGGAAATTCTAAGAGAAGATGAGTATAATATAAGCAAAGAAAGTATATCCTTTGTTAATACATACATATAATACAAATCATAATGTGAATTACCTTTCAAAAAAGAAATAAAATATTTATGTTTATCTATCCATCTCGTTTATAAGATTCTATAAATCAAATTCATAATTTTTTTTATGAATATGTTTACAATTCAGAAAATGTTTCCAACTACCATAAATGTGTATTTTATTTTCTTTTCAATTGCTAAAATGGAGGGGTTGAGGTCTACAATTATTTATGTGTTTCACTTTTGTAGAGGCCCATACAAAATGGTTTTTGTAATGACCCAGTTGTGGGTTTTCTGTTATTTAAATTTTACGTTTCCTGCCATTTCCATGCACATAAACAGTTACCGAATCAGAGTCAATTTAATTACAAATGCTTAAAAGCATTGTGCGGCCATAAATCTAATAAACTTAAAAGCGCGCGTGCAATGTAACCAAAGCAACAATAGTTTACCAATAACAACAGATAACAACAATGAAAACAATAAAAAGACTACAAGCCGAGGCAGTGGAAAACCTATTAGGAAATTATGTGTTGTGCAGTCTAAATATTTTCGCAACAACAGCATAATGTGTACGCCCACAAAATGGCGGCAGCGGGCGTGAGTTTGTGCAAATAAATTTAATTGAAAGTGCAACTGAATACAGCAGTCGAACAGGCAGTCGCAAGGCTGTGGGCGGCTATGTGGGTTGCTATGCTGACTCGATGGCTGGGAGGTTGGCCGACTGGCTGGCTGTTTGGCTGGCTGTTTGGCTGGTTGGTTGGTTGGTTGCATAATCAATTTGCAAAATTAATCAAGTTTAAAAGAGCGAGAGACGAGGGCAGACCAACAAAACTAAAAGCAAGCCACATGCCATGGCAGGCCAGGTTGCACTGCGAATGGATGGCTGGCAGCTTGTCAGTTTGGCAGGCGAAATGCGCACACGGGACGTATGAGCGATGCGTTTTAATATTGACAGCTTTAAGCCGAACAAACTTTGAACTCGGCTAATTGAAAAGCAAACAGTGGAGTGCTCTATAAATACAATTACACATTGGTGGGCGCATCCAATTGTTTTTCAATTTTGATGAAGTGCTCGAAGAGACCTCCTCTTGTTGATTTTGGCGCGTTGCCCTTGAATTTTGGCAAACGGGTCCGCAGCTGTCCGCTGCTCTAAAAGAGTGTCGAGTACTCCCGACTGCTTCGAGAATAATTTATTAAGCCCTTAACTATCGTTTATGGCCTTTGGCAGCTCCAAAGAATTTTATCACTTCATTTTATGGAACCACCCTAATGGCCAAGTGCATATTAATTACATTTATCGTTGCCATTGTTTTTTACCCCCTTTTTTATAGCATATTTTTACTTAACTAAAAAAATATTTGTATAAACCAATATTTTATCGCTTACAAGGCACTTATGTAAACGGTTTTTATGCACTCAATTGCCTTCAATTGGTATTAAGTTTGGCAGCAACTTTAGAGGCCATAAAAAGTGGCACTGACGTTCAAATTACGCAACAGTGCAGAATTCAATTTACAATTTCAATGCGTCGGAGCGCAGGTAAAACAATTTTAATTGAAATCAAATGAAATACTGTCAACTGCACCGAGAATTTAATTTGGTGTTTTCAATGTACATACCGGTTTATTAAAGGAAAGGAAAAAATTTGTTAAATGTCCTGTTGTTTGTGATATAAATTGTCTACAAAAGGAATAGGATAGCTAGCATTTCTTTTTAATAATGACTAAAATTTGTAGCTATAGATAGGTTTATATAATTGGTTTTTATATTGGTGTCTACTGAGAAACTAATTTAAGAGGAACAAGAAATTTCCATTATAATAAGAGGACTTTTATTTCTGAAATAGAGCATTTGTTTTCTGATCAATCAAAGATCAGGAATATGAAATTAAATGAAATATGTCAAATAATTTGTTGGCATGTAATTTTTTTTCTAACGAAATGAAGTTGTCAGTTATTTGGAATATACTTATTTCTACTATAAGTATATTCCATATTCTATATTTCGTTCTCCATTGAAAGAATGTTAAAATTATAATAAACTTGTGGAAATGTAATAAATATATATTTATTTCTACCTTACCATAGCTACCAATCCGTTTTTGATATCTACAAGTTATGTGTTATATGAATGTTCATTACCTGGAATAAATATAGAAAAAACTAATCAGTATAAATCCACGTTTTATACATTTAAATTCATCCTTTTGCAACAGACAATTAAGACAATTAAGAAATCTGTGCATTTTGAAAAAAATGGTCTTAAATAAAAAGTGATAATTGCTGGGGCTTTAGAAAAGTATATGTATTTATTGGTTGATAAATCAGTGCCATTTAGTACCTTTTATTAGAATGATATGCTTGCTAATAATATCCCAGCAGTTTTGCTCTTTAAATGCGTTGGTCTTCTTTTTTCAGAATTTATTTAAAGGCCAGGTCGCCTGCATTGAAATTTCCTTAAGTGTTTTGAACTGAAATCCGAAATGGAATTTATAGATATCACATCTATATATATCTTCATGCATTCTATACGTATAGATGCTTCTACTATATTTCTGCCTATCTATCTTTTTAGCTGTATTTATTTATGCAAGGCTACCTATCTATCTGTTTACCTATCCATCTGTACATCTCCATATCCATCAAGTTGTCATACAATAATCTGTCCATTCTTGAATATCCAACTTCAAAGGGAAGACCTCCTAAACCCAATCCAATTTCGATTAGTGGCGCTTTCTTTTATATGTACGTTGCCCAGTGTGATGCCCTTTTTGTAGTCCTTTTTGAACATGATTTCCCAAATATCGTTACTAAGGTTAGCTGTTCAATAAATTCAAGTTATTTTCTGCTTTGACTCAAGCACCGCCGTCGCACACAGTTCAGCTGCAAATATCAAATAAACGTCGCCAGTCTCGCATTATCAAGATAGTAGCTGCCATATTATGCATTTGAACGAACACAGACAGCAGCATTAGCCCAAGATGTGACTCCTTATCGTTTAATTTTCTGTCACTTTGCCGAACTTGCTGGCCTTCGCCATCGACCCCAATAAATGTTAATAAGTGTCACAGAATTGCATGATTTTTGATAACTGTCTACGAAACGAAAGCCGCCGCAAGTGGCAATTTGAATGTCTAAGTTGGACGAAAGGCGGCCAATTGGGGATTGGCTCATTATAGTATAAAGGAAGTGGACATTTTTGGCAACTTATAAATAAAACACGCAGAGTTGTGGCTTTTTGGCTGAAACAGAGAAACGTTATGTGATAAAATAAAATTTTATTTGAAATCTGTTCTCGAAACGAACTTTAAGCAGCGATAGAGATGGTGGCTTGCTTGCTTGGCTGGCCAATGTCCAAAACCAAATGCCCACAAATATTTTTCCAGTCGAACGCACTAAAGCGTGTGACTATGTGTGTTTGTGTGTGTGTGTGTGTGTGTGTGTGTGTGTGTGTGTGTGTGTGTGTGTGTGTGTGTGTGTGTTAGGCATGCAACAGCATGCGGCAAGTTGGTAGGTTGGTTGGTGCTTTGGCTTTAGCTTTGGGTTGGACTTGGCTGGGCTGGCTTGGGTCTGGGCCAGAATTAAGGACTGGCTGGGCTGCTTAGCCAAGCAAAAACACAAAGACAAGCAGCAGCAAGCCAGTAAGCGACTGAGTGAGCAAAGTTCCCAGCACTACGTGGCCAAGTTATTTATAGATTTATGCACACACATACTTGTACACACACGCGTGCAAGGAAAGCCCACGTATAAGACCATGGCTTGTTCTGATACAAGCCATCAGGCAAAGTCGCTTAGGGGCAGCAAATACTCGTAGCTAAGAACGCCATGTGTGTGCATGTGTGTGTGTGTGTGTTTCTTGTTTTTGTTGTTGCTTACGCCTTATGTGCTTGCGCCTTGTGCTCCATTTCACATTATTGCAGCGCGACTAGGCAAAATACTCATGCTCTGACCTTCTTTCCCAGCCATGCCACACACACACACTGTTGCCCCACAATGTTGCCCCACAAAGCTGCAGTGCGGCCAATTTTTGGAACGACCAATAAGCTAAATCCACCGGATTTGCATAACCAATCAAAAAATTTGACATCTACGCACTTTAATAAAAAATAACAATATCAGCTTTAATATTTGTTCATATGCCATTTAAATATAAAATACAATTTTTTCAAGACAACGACTTTTTAAGAGAACGTCAACTTTTTGGAACAATTTCCTTTTTGTTAAAAAGCTAGGGATAAGATCTGTTTCTGTTTCTGATAACCAACCGAGCTTTTACATTTTCTTCAAATTCATTTCTTTGGCATACAGAAAGTGGATTTTGACTGGAAAAAGTCTAGAAATCGAAACAAAAAATCTCAACTGATTGAATAAGTAATTTTTAAATACTCAGAAAAATATGCTTGTAAGCTTTTATGCGAGTTAACTTTGAATTTTGGAAAGCTGAAAGGGAAGAGCATTTTTAGTCTAAAGCTGAAAAATAATTTTAAAACACCTTTATTGCGTTTTTCTGCAATATGACATAAAAATCTGGCGGAAAATAAAGGCTAGTTGGTCAACACTGTGCACATATTGCAGAGCAGGACTGCTTGTTGGATGGATCTGTGAGAAGCCGCACTCCACATGTCCAAGTTTCCACATTTCCACATTTCCACATGCACATGCACGTCAGCCGTAACACGCCATGACTTGCCTTCTAATTAACCCTTTTATTAACATGCTTAAGCGTGGCACACACGCCCACATATACAATACACAATACAATACATACGAATATACACGCACACTGCCATAGATGGTGTGTATATATGTGGAGTGGGTTTTCTGTTTGCACAGTCAACACGGGGGCGGCTCAAATTGGTTTCTAATACTTTCGCTCTGCTTTCTTTCCCAGCCATGGCCTTGTGTGTGTGCGTGTGTGAGTGTTGGAGTCAGTGTTAGCATGTGAGTGTGCGTCGGTTCTTTGTCTTTTGGCCAACTTTGCGATATATTATATTGTATGATAAAGGAAAAGTTTTGACAATGCCTTAGTGTTTGCTCAGGCATCGTCGAGTTGCTTCCACGCCTTGTTGTGCCAATTATATGTGCTATTGATTCGATGGACAATGTGTACACACACGCACGCACACACACACACTCACACAGACAAAAGATAATTTAGCTAAAATATACATAGTTAGTTAGTGTGCGATAGTTAATTAGAGAGGTCTGCCCTGGGAACTGAAAGCAGCTGAAACAACAGCTGAGCAACTAGAAACTAATGATAATTGCATTCGATGGGTCGGGGTCACTTATCAGAGAGCAGGAACTGGCCCAGGCGCTGTTCGCGCTCCCTGTCCCGCTCCCGCTGATGACGCTGCTGTCGATGCTGTCGTTGCTTGTGCTGATGATAGCTGCAGAGGCAGACATGTCGTGCCGTCTTCTCGCGCTCCTTCACCCGCTGTCGATCGCGTTCGCCCTGACGCTCCCGCTGCTGACGCCGCTCTCGTTCGCCGTGCATCTTCATGTCGACCCAGTCGTAGAGGTAGTCGTACAGCATGTTCTGATTACGGAATAGCACCTTGAACAGCTGACGTAGATACATGTAGTCCGGCTGCTCGGCAAAGTGTAGTGTACGGCAATACTTCATGTACATATAGAACTCGAAGGGTAGACCTGCACAAAGGGCCGTGAGCGGTGTGTTTGATTTGCTTTCGGCGATCTTCTCATACTTCTGCAAACGTGTATCTGCCTTGATGCCCTGCCAGGGCAGAAAGCCGCGCACAAAATAGAGCAGCAAATAGCCCACAGATTCCAGATCGTCCCGTCTACCTTGCTCCGCGTAGTGCGCATGCATGGATGCATATCGAGCCGTGCCCACCAGGTCGTGCTTCTCATTGTAGCTGATGTGCTGCTGAGTGCGTGGACTATAAAATTTCTTGGCCAGGCCGAAGTCAATCATAAAGACACGTGTGCGTTGGCGTCCCAGGCCCATCAGGAAGTTCTCCGGCTTGATGTCGCGATGGAGCAGACAATTCATGTGCACGTACTCGACACGGGCCAATATCTGATCAGCCAGCATTAGAGTGGTCTTCATGCTGAAGCTGCGCTCACAAAAGTTCAGTAAATCCTCCAGTGTGGGTCCCAATAGGTCCAGCACCAGCACATTGTAGACACCCTCAGTGCCGTAGTGGCGTATCTGCGGAAAACCAACGCCCCCACGCAATATGCTGTAGATTTTGGCCTCACGCGGAAGCTGCGGATGCTTGACACTGGAACTCTCCAGTTTGACGGCCACCCTCTCGTCGTTCTGGAGAGCAATTGCGCGATAGAGTTCCCCAAACGAGCCATTGCCTATACGACTGATCAGTTGATACTTCCCGCCCACAATGATGTCCGGCACTGGATGGCTGCCAAACTTTGACGACCGCTGTCGCGTCTGATATGAATTGCGTCGACGCTCTCCTTTCCACTGCGGCTCCTCCTGATGTTGCCTCTGTGCTTGTTCCCTTGGCTGATACTCTCTCGGTGGAGGCTCCCTCGGATGAGACTCCCTTAGTGGTGGCTCTCTATGTTGCTGATGCTCCCGGTGCTGATGTGCGCTTTGCTGGAACAGCTCCTGTTGCTGAGTATGTCGTGTGCGTGGCTGTCGCCTGGCATGGGCTTGCCTCTGGATGTGTTGCTGCTCTTCTCTGACGTGTGGACTTGAGTGGAACTGGTCCTGTATTTGTGCCATCTTGAAGTTCTGCCTTAAGCACTGTCTTCCCGCTTTTGTTTTTCGAATAAAACAGAAGCTACAGATAGCACAATAATTGTTAAGTGTCGACTTATGAGAAATTCATTGCGTAACTGAAGTATTGGCTCTCAGTTCAGACATATTTCAATGGCAACTAAATCTATAACCTGTGGAAATGTGATCCAAAACTGTGAGAAGGGGGAGAAACATGTGAAGCATCAAAACTGCTATCAATACCATTCGAAGTTAAAGGTTTAGTCAATCGAGAAACTAGTGATGTGGAATTGTTGAAAAATGTCAATAAAGCATCTAAAAACATGTCTTCTGAAGTTCTTACATTTTGAAGATATGGACACAGTTCAGCTTCTGCAGACTAAATGGACCTCAATTTCCAATTTTAATTAGGATTTGGAGTTCTTCTCATAACTACAAATTAAATAAATAGAAAGTATTCAGAATATTAAATTAAAATAATTCTTATATGCCGAGCCCATAATGAAAACCCTGACCATCTGCTATACAAATAATTTGTTGTAAAACAAACACTCTACAATATGTTGAAGCGCCGTTGCCAAGGACCGCATTTTAGTTGCCAAGCGGCGTCGGTACGGGCTCATCGAACAAACAGCGGCTTTTGTTGTCAATCCAAACAAAAATGCTTGGCAGTAGTTGTACTTTTTCAATTAAATAGCCAAGAGCTGTATATTTTATATTCGATTTAAAACAATTTAAATACTCAACATGGAAGACGAAGAGGACTTTGAGTTGGATAGCAATGCTGTCGACGAAGGGAGTGATGGGGGTGAAGAGGAGGAACAGATAGAGCTCGAAGCGGAAGCTCTGGATAGCTGGTCCTCGTTTCATGAGCGCATTGATGCTTTGCTGGAAAACGAGCATTGTGAGAAGCCGGTGCGCAAGCTAGATGAACGGCGGAAGAACACATTGGAACGGGTACGGGAACAGTTTCGTACTGCACCCAAGTCCATAGCGGACCGTGCTCGCTCGCAAAAGAATCAAATTGAACAGCAGTTGGAGCTGTCGAGCACTCGTCTGGGTGAGTTGATGCGGTTCGGGGATGAGCTTGTTACGAACATACGGGTGGCGAATGAAAGACGCGAGCTGGATCGTCTGGCGTTCGAGTCCTCGCAGCAGACCAAGATGGCTGTGAACCTGCATCGTGAGAGCATGCAGACAATGGCCAAGTTTTCGAACATCAAATCGCGCTGGACGGAGCTGAATGAGATCAACGAGCCAATGGCGCTGTGGGAGCAGATCGAGGATCAGAAGAAGCGCATAGGCGAGATCATGGAGAGCAAGGACGAGATGATTGCGGCTTGCCAGCGGGAGATCGACCGTATGAATGCAAAATACGAGTACGACTGTGAGCGACAGGCTGCCGATCTGAGCTGCCTGGTGGAGCGTGTGGATCACCAGGTGGAGACACTGAAGGATGCTTACAAGCAGCATCTACAGATGCTGCGTCACACCATTGAGGACGAACGCCAGCTGTTCGCCATCACATCTGTGGAGAAGTGGCGCAGCTTCTTCGATGCCCTGAACACAAATTTTGAAGAGAAGACAGACTTTCTAAAGACTCGAGAGCGTTTCTACGCAGCCCAAACACATCTGATCACCGAATCCCAGGAGGAGTTGACCAAAAGTACGCGCATACGTCTGGAGAAGGAGTGCGAGCGTCTAGAACTTGAGCTGCGACGCACTCGCGACAATGTGCTGATGAACTCAGAGAAGCTGGACTACAACTATCAGGTGTTGCAGAAACGGAATGATGAGAACGTCATCATCAACAATCAACAGAAGCGGCGTGTGGCGCGTCTGCACGAAGCGGTGGTGCGCATGCGTCATAAGCTGGTGAGTATCAACCAGACCGGCAAACAGACGATCAAGCGTCTATCGACGGATATCTATAAGCTGCATGCAAGTATTAACGACATGGAATCAAAAGCGCACGCCACACGTCTGGCCAACAAGGAGAAGTTCGATCGCATGTGGGAAATGAATTACACGGAGTTGATGGTTCTGGTTAATCGAGTATTCGAAATCGACCGCATCCTGCACGAACAGCAGCTGGCCATACCTTGGCAGAAGGTTGAAGTGGATACCACTGATATTAATCCGATGCCGCCGCGTCGGCACAACAATATTATGGAACAGTTTCGAAGACGCGCTGGAAAACCGTCCAAGAATCGGCCCATTGTTAAGGTCAAGGCACACGAACCAGACGTTAAGGAACTGCCGATAGAGACAGTGCGTCTGATGCACAATTTAATGCGTAAGTTGGCGGATCGGGGCGGATTTCTCATCGAGGAGCGCCTGATTAAGATACTAGAGCCCTACTCTGAGGAAGATCAATGTCTGGTGCGCATCGACAACATCTTTGCGGCACTACGGATTCGCCGTCTACGCGATGTCGAGCAACTCACACGCATCTTTATGCCCTTCACCTACTGTCCCAATTGCCAGCCGGCTGGCCTTAGTCCCCAAAAGTGCGCTGAAGTGTTTATGCATGATCGCAAGCATAGTCGCTATCTGAAACTGGCCGATGTGGAACACCACGAGCATTACGCCGAACCGGACTCAATGATCAGTATTGCCGATGGCAGGAAGTGTGACAAACACTATCTAGTCATGGAGCCAGCCCTCATACTGCACGCCCTGAATAAGTTCACCAAGGAGATGCACAAACGCCTATATCTGACTCCGGTCGATCCCCATGTGCACGAAATCAACTATATCCAGGTCACGGACGAGACCATTCGCACCTTCTGGCGAAAGTTTAGCGCCTGCTTCCCCCAATCAAAGCGCAGACTCTGGAAGATCCTCGAACATGGTCTCAACCACTATGTAGATGTGTTGAAGCTGCGCCAAGAATACGACGCTGAGGTCGAACGTTTGCGTCTGCAAAACGTCGAATTGGGTCACTTGCTCCAAAAGTATTTGGTCTAGCCAACTACTCAGTGAACTGATATCCCCTTTTTACTTTTATGGCAGTACAATTTCATTTTTTCAAAGTTTTTACTAATGTTCGCTATAAATTCTGATTGTATAATTCGCTCAATAAAAACCACTTCTATAACTCTTGTGGATTCTATACAAAAATGCATTCCAGTGAAGTACTTTGGAGCTTTTTAGAACATGCTTACTTATTTAATAGGGCTGAAAAGGAACTGATACTTTACACAATATTTGTAATGCTATTACATAATATTTCTATAAATAAATCAGGCTTAAATTCAAAACTTTGCTTGCACATATTGCAACATTTAGTATTCCACAAAGAGCGCTTTAATTATTTCTATTACAAAACTAATTTTGACTTATATATGTCAGGATTTTGGGACCAGTTTCTTGAAAAAACTATATTAAGTCTCTCATTAGCAATATTTATTACACATACAAATGATGCCTATTTGCATGTGTTCGTATGAAGACTATAAAAACAGGCTCTTTAGCCAATCCATTGGCATTAAGTTTTCTAAATATTCCTTCAAATGTGAGCATTAAGCATAAATTCGAGATTATGGAATCAATATTACATTGGGCTTTGAGTAAAGCTTCCTTCCAGACATATTAGGGTTTCAAATGCAAATCATATACCAGCTGATTTAATATTTAAAATAAATAAATAATTGGTTTTCCTTTTTCTTTATCCAAAAATATTACCATAATTTTGATTACATTTTAATTTTAAAACAGAAAGAGCTGATCCGAAAATTGCATTTAGAATTTGTGATCGCAATTGTTGTTTCGCAAATCGGTAGATAATCTAAGGAAAATGGCGACTCCCTAATGACAGTGCTAAGCCTTGATGATGCTGACGTAAGCGTTGTGTGTATGTGTGTGTGTATTGGGAAGTGGGACTAAGTGTTAAGTTTGCAAAATAGAGAACAAAATATAGTAAAAGTGTCGTTTAAAAATACGTTGAAGACTAGGATTTGTGCATGGCAGCTTTCCGGCCCCGGGGCTTCCTTGTTCGAATAGCCGATAGCTTGGGCGAATGCTTGAAGCCACAGTACAGGCAACAGGCACAATTCTTAGCTCTCGACTTCACAGAGGCATGACTCTTGGTTAGATCGATTACATCTCCTTGTGAAGAGGCAGAAGGCAGAATGTTAATGCTTGGCTCGGCAAATACTTTCGTTTTGGCGCGGCGCACGGGCCGTTTCTTTGGCGGAGCCAGCTTGCCGCTGGTCGCCACTATCTTGCTACGTTGACTGCCTGCTATGGACAAGCTGCTCATGAACGGAGCCTGTGAGGGCAGAGCCTCTAGGAGCTCTTTATCCAACACCTGAATGGTCGCATCGTGTGTGAGAGGCGCCACATAAAAGCAGTTGCCATTGCGATGCAGGAAGCCCAAGCGAACGCCCATTTCCAGTGTAGCATTCACGGTGTGCCTCATCTGAGGATCGAGCGGCTGCTTAATTGCTTCCTCCATGCTGACCATAATCGATTCGTAGCTAACAGGCTTATTGATGCCCTGCAGCAGTTGCATCAGCAACAAGCCCGTTTGGTTGGTGGAGCCCTTTGCTCTATGGTTGGGGAGTTGTGTATTGAGTGGATCCGTTCTTATGGAACCGTCATTTCTTATTCACTTACCCCGCCATCCTTTAGCAACGCGTATAGTTGTCTTATTGTGCTATTGTTTAAACTTATAAGTAACTTGAAACTATTGTAAAGTTTGTTGTTAGCTCTTCGAATTCTAGATAACGAATGAATGAAAGTTAAGAAGAATGTTAAAGCCACGAGGAAAACAATTTCGAAGCTTGCTTTGTAGTTCTTAAAGAGTTTCTCAAATGTCTTTAATTCTTTTTTGTATTTCACTTCTTATTTTTTTTCAACTTAGTCCATGAGTTCGAGATAAGAGTATAAAGCAAATAAATTATAATGATGGCTTCTAGCTAAAGATTCTGGCAGTCATGGCTGAATCATGCTATCATATTTGTTTTAACTTTAAGTTAACAATATATAATAATAATAATTTTTGTTATCAGCAGAGTGTTTTTATTTAAAACTATCCATCGCGGACAATCATTAAATTTGTATGTATTAATTAATTTATTTATAAATAATAATAATGTTGCCATATACAAATCAAATAGGTGGTCGAGGTCTGAATTTCATCAAACGATTCTCATTTAAAACTATATATTTTTTTAATGGTGGTTATATATACTACATACATATCTAGAAAAATATATTATGTGTTGCGTAGAAAGCAGTCAACGTATTTATTAGCATTTGAGTGGATTTTTATAGATTAATATATTATTCATATTTTATATGTTACATACATTTTGTCACACATTTTGTCGATTTTTTTAAACAACACATGCCCTTAGCTGATTTCTCTTCAACTATTTATGTGAATAATTTTACAATTTTTGATTGTTGATACTTTTCCTATTTTGGCAGCTATTTTACGTGTTTTTTCAAAGCTGTGTTGCACACGCAAACATTTAATTAAAATAACATTAATTATGTTATTTGCACCGTGTGGCTGTTGACGGCTTTCCGCTTGTCGCCGTTTTAATTACCACTGCCCTAATTTGGCAGGCTGACCTGGGCAGGTAGGGAATCGTTAGCCAGCTAGGAGCGTTAGGTAATTTAATTACGAAACATGGCTGCGCGGAACTAACTTAATTATAAATAAAATGATGACAATGGAAAAGTATTCAAATATCATAAGTATGCCTGCACTGCAGATAAATTATACGCATACATAAATAAAGTGCGCTCAAGTAATAATTAAAATTATTTCTTTATGCTACATATAGTATGAAATTTTTTAATGTTTGTATTTCCGCTGGCAAGGACCCAAAAAACTGGCTTTTATCTTAATGTTGTTTATGAGCCGCCAACGAACCAACCAACCCAGTCACTGAATTTCGCGCCGGAGCGGCATGTTAATTACACACACATCTATACATACATATAAACCAACATATTTACATACATTTAGCAGCAAAAAAAGAGAGAGAGAGAGAGAGAGATAAGCATTGGGTCCAGTTTAATAAAGTCATAAATTCGCTCGGACTGTGGTCATTCCGCCCATTCTTGTACTGATGATGCCTCCTGAATAACTTTGTGCGACTTTGTGGCCGTGTTGTTTGTGAGTCATTGTTGTTGTTGCCGCAGTTGTGGCTGTCGTTGTTGTAATGAATTGCCTGACTGTTCTGCATGTCCAACATCTGCTGAAAATCAGTCAAGTTGGCAAATGATTTTCATGTACGCTCGCACATCGATGGACAGGGCAAGAGGATAATAGGGCAGCCAGGCAGCCAGGCAGGAAGGCCGTCGCACGTGGCGTATGATTAATGCAATGTCATGCTGTTGCTATATCGAGTGCCCCGGGACTCAAGGCTGCTGCTGCTGCTGTCACAGTGCGCCGTTTAATGGCTTTAAGTAGGCATTCATAATTGGCCTTTAAGGCCGTTAATTGCAGTGGAAATGCAACTTTATGTTCATTTGCAGGCAAAAAGGCAAAAAGGCTGATACAGGGGCAGTGGCAGAGGCAGAGGCAACACTCGAATTGGGGTCACACTCAGCTCGGTTCTCGGACCTCGTCTACTATTTTTTATTTGATTGACTGCACAGCTGTGCGAATGCTTATTGCTTGCTTTTCGCATTTGCTGCTGTGTGCTTTCCTCTGGAGCGGCACAATTACAAAACAAAGCTCGACAGCAGAAATCTTCATTAGGAACCCATTTCTGCAATTGCAGCTCGCATAACTCGACTAGTCGAGCCGACTAGCAGCATCATAAAGGCAAATTGTGTTTTCCCAACAAGCTAATGAAAGAGTTGGCCAAAGGAGCTCCAGCAATTTAGCATTGGAATTAAAATGGAAGCATCGCCAACATACAAGTATTTGCAACGATGTCGGGAAAGTTTGAAAACAAACTGTAACACTGTTGTAGTTAGATTCGAATAGTTTTGATGGAAACGTGCAATCCAATTATTGACTCTGAATGACTCTAATGATTAGCTCATAGTTCTATCTCAACAATATTTAACAATATTTAAGGCAGACAAAGAAGCAATTAAAAAAGTTACCAAACAATGATTGGAAAATATTCAGGTTTGTTATTCTGGGAGAAGAGTGTATTAGTTTATATATTTATAGTTGCCTTAAAAGTGTTTAATGTTATTTCAAAGATAAATATTAAAAACCGCCCGAATGGAGTACGAAAATTTGCCTGTTTTATTAAAATTAGAATGGACTGCTATTCAAGAAATTTGATACAAAAAAATCGCCCGAATAGAATACAAAAATTTGCCTACTTTATTAAAACTAGAATGGGCTCCTATTCAAGAAATTTGATAACAAATAATAAATCGGTGTTTAACAACCTACAGCCAATTAGAAGACTAGAAAGAAGCTGCTACAATTATAATTCGGACGATCACTTAAAATTTATAATTTCCCTGTGTGTATGCGACAATTTTGAATATAGATGTTTCAAAAAACTCTTTCAAATATGTTATTGAAATATGTTTCTTTATCTTTTTTTACTTTATCCTTTGAGACGTGGTGTAGTACGATCGGGTTCAATTGTTGACTCAATTCATAAAAGTATTACTAAAATTTAATCACTTAGAAAAATATTAATGAAGTTGAAGTGTTAAAAAGTCAAGTTTCTTTTTTGTTAAAAGATTTGGTTATACGAGTATGCGGCAACTCGAAAAGGAAAGCCAAGAATGCTGAACAGCACACGCAAAGGGATTTGTAAGTGTAAGACAATTAGAGTAATTATGTCTATTAAGTATGAAAATGATTAAAATGGTGAGCCCACAATTATTAATTAAATATTCTTGGCCGTCTGGGGTTAAGCAAGTGTGAAATGCTTTTGATAGCATGCTTTTAAGCAATAGCACAAGCACAAGCACAAGCTGCGGTTACTTTGAACGTCAACTGCCTTACTAATTGGACAAATATTTGAAAACTATTTAGGCACTGAGCTGGAGTCAACAGCATTATTATGATGACTTCGCAAAATGTTCCTGATTGATGCGCTAATTGAGCATATCAATGAAACGGCAAACACGCGCTCCTCAATATTTGTGTGGTTTTGTGTATATATCTTAAATGACTATACAAATATTGATTTTATTGGCACATATTGTGTCTTTAATGGAGTAAAGCCTCAATCAAAAGGGCAACACACACACACACACACACACAAAACATACACAAATGCAGACACCCACACAGCGGCAGACAACGCCATTTGACAAAAGTTTCTATAAAGTTTGTGAGGCTCGTGTTCCTTTTACGGTTTTGTTATTGTTGTAGAGGCTCGTGCAGACAGGTCGTCGTCATTGTTGACGGTCTTTAAATTGCCACAAAATACTTGAATACTTGTTTGTATATATTTTGACTTTGTCTATGTGTTGGTGTATGTCTGTGTCAAAACGTTTGTCAAAGCTCTTTGCCATTAAACCAATTTGCGCAAACAAAATAAAAAGCTACCTTCGGCTGTTCCCAAACCTGTGATACCCTACACGGTATTCCTTGATGCCATTCACATAAATTGTATTTCATTTAAATTTCCTTTTGCGTTATTGACAGCGTGCGAAGATTTTAGCAATGGGGATTGAATAAATTCATGGGTTTCTTGAAAAAGTAAAATGCAAAAAAACGATCAAGTTTAAAAATCTTAAAAAGATTACTTTAAATAAGCTTACCGCCAGCTTCAGAATCGTATGTAAGTATGTATTAAATAAAGTACTTTAGAAAGATAAGATTCAGGGGTGCCGTTACCTCCACTTTTTGTTAAGTCGGATATTAAACATTTTATGACAATTTCTGGTGTTCTTTTAAAGTGTATTTTGTTACTTTAGCAGATTATTATTTAGTAAGTATAGTACTGCAAGCTTTTCTCTTTATAGCCTTAGTTGCTTTGGAAAGGACTCTTTGGTCGTAGGGGATGATAAAACGCTAAAAAGCGACGCGTAAAATTTCTATTGCTATTCCAGCCTCTGTGCTCGTTGTTATTGGTGTTGTTGCTCGTATTGTTGCCGCTGTCGTCCTGCAAATCCACATAAACACACAGACACGCACACAGACACACTTTGACATTTGACAGTTTTTTGCCGGAGCCGTTTTATCTCATAGAGAGGCCTTTTTTAATTGCTTGTGCGTTGGAGTCGTTGTTGTCGTAAATTGGCCGAATTTTCGTTGTTTAGCCTATGAAATACGTAGCTTAAATTAGTTGGTGTCTGTTTGCTTTGGCCTTTCAACTAAAGTGACGAGCTGAGTGGAGCACAACACAATAAAACGAAAACAAAAACAAAGACAAAGACAACGACAACAACAAAGGCAAAGGAGGCCTGAAAACGAATGGGAGCCCCATTTAAGCCGCTTTCCGCTTTGTCTTGTTAATTGCTTTGATTGCCTTGTCTGTGCCCTCAACTTCGAAAATATACATGCTGATGGGGAGGGGAGAGGACGGCTAGTATACCCACTTTGTCAACTAAATCCTTTTAGCTATTTTCTACTGCTTGTGCGCATTACTCGGAATCGTGTTTAAGTTTAAATTACAACTTTGTCCACCCCGCTGGCAAGTTCAGTTCAAATGAACATTTAAAGCACTTAAAAAGATCTTGAAACTACGAAATTGAAAACAAGTTTTTTTTTTCTACTCTGCAGTTTTCTACGCGCATAGCTGTAAGTGACCAGAAAAGGAAAAGTTCCAATTGAATAGCAAAAACAGTATT